CACTCTTAACAGTAATGTTATAGAGTTCTTTCAGTTTTTGAGGTATTTTTTCAGCAGCTGCACGATTTCCTGTTCCCCTCACTGCATCTATCAATGTCTGCCATGTTCTACTTCTTGCATCATCTTTACCATCTAGCCATGCTTCTATAGTCTTCCTCAAATGCCTGTATGCATCACCACCACCGTCTGAAATGACATTGAGTCTTGGCTGATATAGACCTAACCGAAGCCCCAAGTCATTCCATTTGATTGCACCAAACAGTACTTTATCTAGCACTTCAAGTATTTTATCAACATCCTTTGCATCTATAAATATCAATACAAGGTAGATTATTATTGTACCTATCATGGTATAGTCTTACCTAGTTGTTCGGCTCCATCTGAAGTACCATTAGCTATATCAAAGAATCAGTGTAAGATTGTGAGTTTCAAATGAATAATAATAAGGTAAGTTCACAAAGTACTTTAGTTTGCAAGCAATTGAAATACATGTACTGTGTTAGACTAATGACTAAGGATTTAAATTTGATATTATACTTGGTACATTCATTTTTGGATATGATTTTTGGTAGATGTGATTTTACTTTAGTAGATAATGCTTTTCCCTATTTTGGGGTCTATATAATGCATGTGCATAGCAAAAATGTATTTTGTGCATTGTGATTTCATTAATAATTTTAAAAACTTAAAATTTGAGTCAATTCCTGTTCATAATATTTTATGGCATGCATGTAGCAGGCTGTACATGCCTACATGTAACATTTAAATTTAATGTGCCTCACTTGAAATGCTCTTCCTCATTTTTGCTCCATAGTCCTTCAATGTAGGACAGTCTACAGTTTTAGATTCAAATACGTCACATATTTTGAGTAGACATGCATTAGGGTCTTCACTGTCCCCTATTTTTTCTTTTAGCTTCTCAGCCACTTCATTCCCTCTTTGATCATTTGTTAAGCCTTCTCTTCTTATAGCACAAAGCTCAGCATCTGTAATCAAATCCTTAGCATTAAGAGAGGCAGTGACAATAGTAAAAGGTGGCTCCCTCCCAAGTATTCTTGTAAGCTCTGGTACTACTTCTTTAAACACAGCTTTTGCACTTTTACCTACAATACAGAGCTAAAGGATTGGCACAGTTCATACATTGGCATACCTCCTTCAGCCATAACAGTTCTTAGAAGTAGTCAGACTATCAGTCAGCAAAGGGGGCAAATCACTCACAGTCAAGCTCAACTAATGGTAGTCTATAGCTGACTTCCTTTTTTGGTTTGAAATGGGGGTGTACTGTGATTGCTTGTAACTGACCAATCAAGTTACATGTACTCTACTATCAAGAGTAACTCTTGCTACTATGAATATTGCAATGTTTTAATAGTATTCATGGATAGAGTGTAGATTCATTCACACTAGTAAATGATAGCAATAATCATAATTATTACTGATAAAATTACAAATTAATGTTTTTTTACAATGTCTCGTATCTTCTCAGCAGCTGCATTTTCTCCAGTACTCTTGACAGCTCTTATTAAATCATCCCATGTTGTTCCTGTAACTTTATCCTTTTTTTGCAACCATTTTTTAACAGTTTGTTCCAGATAATCATTGGAATCACCATTTGTTCTACCAATGACATCAAGTGTTTGTATGTAGAGACCCAGTGATAGTCCTAAGCTCCTCCATTCTACAGGACCAAACATTGCTTCATTTAAAACTTTCAACACTTCATTAGTATCACCTCGACCTAATGAAATGAAAATTATAATGTATAATGTGTACCTAATACTCTCTTGTATACTTAGACTTTGTTCATTTGGGTTTGTTTGTGTAGCTGTTGGCTGTGGTGGAATAGAAGGGAGGGTAGTGGGTTCCTTTGATGTAGCAGGTGTGCCTAAATAATTGAGATACTATAACCCTCATGTACACACACACATACACACACACACACACACACACATTCATTTAGTAATTTGTATAAGGAATCTTTTTAGCACAGTAGTTTTCATGCATGTATTAAATAAGTTGTATCAAATATGGGACATACATTTTGTAACCTTACCGTCAGTAGTGGACAGTGAAAGTTGATATACTCCAAATGCAACAGCCATGATAAGAATAAGAAAAGTAAGAATAGTCCATCTGTTGCACAGTTATAGATAAAATTTTATTATGTGGTCTTACTTATGTTGCTTAGCTTTATCCAGGATATACATGTACCCACCTAAAAACATATAAGTTATCTTACTTATACTATTGAGTAACTGCTATAATTAATATTAATCTAGCTAATGCCTTTAGCATAAGCAAAAAAATCCCAACATCAAATCATGTCTGATACTAGGCAGCGAAAATCTTTTGTGCATGATTTATATGCTATATTGCATAAATTTACTATATTAATTAGGAAAAAATAACAAAAATAAATCTAAAAATGTAATTCTCTCAATAATTATTGTCAGTTACAAAAGTCACTTAAATCAGTTTCTTTCATTTATTTAGTACGTTATACACATAATGAGCGGCAGCACAGGCTGCAAATGGCTTCCATTTTTCAGTGGCTTCTTTGTTACCATCACCCCAGTCACCGATACCCTTGATGACAATGGCCTCAACACGTTCAGGAGCATAATCAACAGCAGACATTATCCCAGCTCCTTCCATTTCGCCTGCTAAAGCATCTTGTTTGAACTGAAACAGTTTACTTTTAACTTCAGGATTATCAATGAGGCTACATGTTGATATAAAGATGCCGTCATAAACAGCATTGTTGTGGGGTGGCATTTTATAATCAGGAGAAGGTAAGAATTTGGTTAGAATGGAATGTTTTACCTGGTGATGCGGACCTCGCTGATATCCATCTTCACCAACACCTTCACGCTTATTCGTGAAATCACAGATCATGTTTGAAACAAGCTTTTCTGGATTCTTTCCAAAACAGACACCAATAGCAACAACCAGGAGTCCATAATTTATGGACTCCTGCAACAACGTATTTGATGCTCTTAACCCTTTCTAAAATTTTTGATGTGATGACACCAGCATGAATTGGGCCCTGCCTGCTCTTATCTAGTGCGGACATCACAACGATAACTTTGCTTTTTCCATAATATCCTATTTATATTTTCAAACCATCAATATACGTTTCTATACATTTTTTAGATGACTGCTTCAGATAATGCACGACTGGCTTTTCTTCACTTGTAGTGGCTGGCATAAGCAGGATTTCAATATCTTGAACAAGATCTTCATCAAAATCCTTTTTTTCAGTGACACATGAACATTCGTCATATGGCCAGGATGGTGGTGGGTCTGAGTAAAAATTGCATTTTTTAATGCTTTTATTACGTGTGTAAGAGTATTAATTTAATGGTTAGCTATAGTATCTTGTGTATCAAGTTAAGTAATGTAAAATTGTGGATAGTAAAAATTGAACTTAATATTACAATGAATTATGGGACACTATGTTGAATCTCAATAACTATTTTGTACACTTGACTCTTGTTTTGTATGCATAATGTAATGGTAGTTGTTGGTTACCTTGTGGTCCATCAGGTTCATCATCACCAGAAAATTTTTTGGGAGTAGGTTTCTTTACTATTTAAAATAACAATCTATAATTATAATATGCATAGTCTAATGATAATTCAAGTATCAGTAAATGCTGCTAGCCTTAACTTGCTATATACCCACATATTATTGCCTAAATAATATCTAATTACTCTGTTACTATGAGTATATTGTGTATAACAAAATATCAATAGAAACATATCAGTAATAATATTGTGCCCATGCTGTCCCTGTAGTTTGTTATTGTCAGCATAGTCATGCCACATTTGTTTGGTGCTTAATTGTGAAGTTATATATATTTAAACCTTTGATAATTTAATGTGTCTTACTTGAAATGCTCTTCCTCATTTTTGCTCCATAGTCCTTTAATGTAGGATAGTCTACAGTGTCAGATTCAAAGACGTCACATATTTTGAGTAGACATCCATCAGGGTCTTCACTGTCCCCTATCTTGTTTTTTAGCTTCTCAGCCACTTCACTCCCTCTTTGATGTTCTGCTAAGCCTTGTCTTTTTACAGCACGAAGCTCATCATCTGTAATCAAACCTTTACCATTAAGAGATTCAATGACAGTGGTAAAAGGTGGATCCCTCCCAAGTATTTTTGTAAGCTCTGGTACTGCTTCTTTAAACACATCTTTTGCACTTTTACCTACAATACAGAGCTAAAGGATTGACACAGTTCATACATTGGCATACCTCCTTCAGCCATAACAGCCCTGAATTGAATTGCTTTTATCAGCAATATAGGGGTGGATCATGAATCACATGCAGTCAGACCACAGTTACTCTACTATGAATATCATAAAACTATAATTTACTATAATAATGCTTTGTGGAATTATTGCATGATTTCATGATGAACATGCAGCAAAATTGATTTCCAGTGAATATTTCCAACTATACAGTATGATTCCAACAAAAACATTGATACTATCAATAGCTCAATGTTGTTTTGTCCACTTAAGCATATCTTGAATTGAAATAAAATAAAAATTAATTATAAAAACTGAGAAATTTATAAATTTAATTTTTTATGTAGGATTATAAATTAAAGCTCTACATTAAGGAATGACTGTAGATCTATAAGGCAATGAACAGTATGATCATAATAAAGTAATGACCACGTCAAAAGAGGCTGGGCCGAGACAATGACCAAGTGCAAAATTTCCTAAGGTTAGATCTACATGTACAAATTTTGCATATTTTGTGGTTTTATGACATAAAATCAAATTGCAAAAAAGTACAGAAAGCTTTGTGTAGCCAGCCTCTAGGGTGAGTCTGATTGTTAAAACTAGATTTTTAGGTAGACTAGACATCTAGGCTCACAGAATTTATAAATATCTTCATTTTATGTTCATTTTACTTGTGGCTTATATTACTTAACTTTTAAACGGTAATGTTATAGAGTTCTTTCAGTTTTTAAAGTATTTTTTCAGCAGCTGTACTATTTCCTGTTTCCCTCACAGCATCTATCAAAGTCTGCCATGTTCTAATTTTTGCTTTATCTTCACTATTTAGCCATGCTTCTATAGTCTTCCTCAAGTGCTTGTATGCATCACCACCACTGTCTGCAATGACATTGAGTCTTGGCTGATATAGACCTAACCGAAGCCCCAAGTCATTCTATTTTGCTGCACCAAACAGTACTTTATCTAACACTGTTAGTACTTTATCAACACCCTCTGCATCTATGAACACCAATACAGGGCAGATTATTATTGTATCTAATGTCTTACCTAGTTGTCTGGCTCCATCATAAACAGTGGTACTGCCATGATGAGGCTGTGCTGTTGAAGCTGGAGAAGTATCAGTAGCTACATCAATAAATCAGTGAATCAAAAATGAATTATAAAGCTAATGAAAATTTTGGTCATGGAGTAAATACATTTAAAACAGCTAAAATGCAGTCAATTGAAAAAACTGCTTGACTATTACTATAGGCTCAAGGATTACTTGAATTTACTTGGTACAAAATCAAATTCGTTTTCCTGAACATGTGTACTTACTTTTATTGAGATTGAAATGATTTATAACCACACTGATAATAACAGCTGAAACCATAATGCCCAAAGCAAAACCCCATTTTCTGATTAAACAAAATGAGTGAGTCTTAACAAGATTTGAACTGCTATCTTACTTGAGGTGTTTAGCTTTACAGTATTTCAGGAGAAAATAGTTTCCTAATAAAAATATTATATAAATACCATTTATAAATTCATTATGATATTATCAAGACAGTTTTGATGGATGACAGCGCAGAATTCACAAAGCAGGATTTTTATGGAAGATCATTTGCAAGTGTGGTATAGTTTATGGTCTTTTTAAAAATTGTTAATTTTAAAATTTTTGCTTTACAATAATTTTTGCTGAAGCGTTACGTGCAAAATTATAATTTAATTAATTAAATTTACACAAAAATCACTCCAATTTTAGTATGTTAATTAGAAAATCCAACAAAACAATAAGCCTAAAAATGTTACTCTAATCAAAACTGATTGTCTTTGTTTCTAGCACAGTTTTTATGTAATAAGCAGCAGCATGGGCTGCAAATGGCTTCCATGTTTTAGTGGCGTCTTTGTCATCATCACCCCAGTCACCGATACCCTTGATGACAATGGCCTCAACTGTCTTGGTTGTATATTCAGTGGCAGCCACTAAACCAGCACCTTCCATTTCTCCTGCTTTAGCATCAATCCTGATATTCTTGTATTCTTCTTTGATTTGATCATTATCAATAAGAGATGGTGTACATATGTATATACCATCGTTGACAATGATACTTTTAGGTTGCAGTTTTTCTCTAATTTCTTCAGTTAGTTCAAAAATATTTTTGATAGCAAGGCCTACACTAGGTTGAGCACTTCGTTGATATCTTTCTAGCCCTTCCCGCATATTTGTGAAATCACAGAGAATGGTTGAGATAATAACTTCTCCTAATTTTTGTTTGCCTTTGTTCATCCCATAACAGACACCAACACCCACAATATACTTAATCTCCGTAAATATTTCCAACATTTTTGTGATGACAATAGCAGCATGAACTGGGCCCTGATTATGCTGCGATGGTGCAGTTTTCACAACAACGACTGGATATTTTCCATACTTTCCAATATATATATCTGAAACCTTGTGACCATAAATACTTATTCTAAAGTATTTGTCACCATTTATCGGTTTTAAGTAACGCAAGACTGCTTGTTCTTCTCCTTCAGTGGCAGGCGCAAGTAGAATTTTGACATCCTTAACAAAACGTTCAATTTCCTTAAAATTCTTCGTACTATCAGGTTTATATATTTCACCATCGTCAGGCAAGTTTGATGGACTTTTACCTGTTAGGCAATAGAATCAATATTATTTTCATTTTATCTGTTGAGATTACATTGTGTATGCATTCATTGACCAAATTTTAATGAAACTACTAATAATTGTGTAGTACCTTAAAGTTATTTTTATTGCTGATACTATTAAGTGTATAGTGTATATAAATAATATTATCATGCCTCCAATTACTCTCATCAATTGTGACACAATGTATAATATTTAGAATCTTTTCACTTACATTGGATATGTTTTAGTTACAGCATTATATGCATGTACTGATGAAAAGAGCTGTAAATATTTGCTGAATTGCAAAAAGTGTTTATAGCAAGGGGAAGACAGAAACCTATCATTAACTTTCTGGAAATTATAAATTATAAATTGGGTTTGCCAATGTTACATGCTCTGAAGTTTGAAACATGGCATACCACACTTATTGTCTTATACTACATTTACGTTAAAATATGTATTCTGAACACCATCAGTTACATTTATTGAAAGTGATTTCCTGTTAGTATTATATTACATTGAATTTTCAAGTTTTCTACTATTAATCTATTACTAGTACCTTTTGTCTTTGGTTTATCCTCATCACTACTTTCCTGTTCATCATCACTTTCCTGTTCATTTTTATGGCCCTGTTTTGAAGCTAAAATAGTGTACAGAGAGCATAATAGGAGCATTAGTATTAATTATTGGTAGATAGAAGGCAGAACATCTATTACTAAAAATTAATAATTCATAATTCAGAACTTATTTATGTTTTATATTAAAATATGATAATCACGATTACAATTGCTATTATATGACGACAGTACTTACATAGCTGCATTCTCAAATTTTCTACTACTATTAAGTCTATTATTTTACTGTATATAGTTTATAGTTTATTGACATTGGGAAAGCATTAGGCATCATATCTCTATCAATTATACAATGTACATACTGCATGTGAAAAATTAGTAGGAATAGATAAGGAACTCTTCATGTGGTTGTATGACTAGCAGCTGTGCTACTACAGATTTTACAGCCTATAACCTCGAGAGAATAACTGAGGGAGTGTCAGAGTGACAAAGAATTCAACTGATGCCCAGGGGCGTATCCAGGGGGGTGCTGAGGGTGCTT